CCCGTGTGCCAGCTTTGCCCCCTGTTCTAGGAAAGGTGCAGTTCCATTTCTCTGCTGGTTCAGAACTTGAACTCGTGTGGTTGTGCAGGAGGTGAATGGAAATGCTTCTTGTGAGAATGCAAGGTTTTAGTTTAATACTGAGTGAAATACTGAGGACAAGGATCAATGGCCATAAACACAGGGAGTTCCACCTCAACAGGAGGCAGATCTTTTTTCCATGAGGGTGGCAGAGCTGCCCAGGGAAGGTGTGGAGTCTCCCTCTCTGGATTCATCCCAGTCTCACCTGCAAGTGCTGCTGTGTCACCTGCTCCAGGTGACCCTGTCTGCACTGCATCATCTCCAGAGGTCCCTTCAGCCCCACCTCTCCTGGGATTCTGTGAATTCCTAATCATGTCATCCAGAGCAGCTGATGGACAGTTACCCAAGCTTAGTTCTCAAAATCAGAAACTTCATTAAAAACCTAGCTGTTGCTGCCTTTTTCTCCCCCAGCATCTCTTTTCCTCTTCGTCATCTACATTTCTAGATGTGCCTTTCCTTCATGTGCCACGGACTTGAGATAACAAAGCTTTGTGCCAAGTGAGCCAGGGCTGCTGTGATTTGAAGTAATTATTTAGTAATTAATCCTTTTTGTTGCAAACACACACACAGAGGTGAGCAGGATTATTCCAGCAGTGAGAAGAAAATCACAGCAATAACTGCATTTAGTGGCCATTTCAGTGCAGACACATCCATGGCCGGCTTTAACTGTTACTCTGCCTTTTTAAAAATAAAAAAAAAACAAACCAACCCAACAAACTTCTGAGCTGTTTGATAAGGAAGCTGGATTAGAAGTGGAGCCTTTCTCATAACCTCTGCTCCCTCCCACGCAGAGCGGCAGCGGGAAGGGGCTGCNGCCAGCGCGGCGGTGGCACAGGGCCAGTGGCATGGCCACTGCTGAGGGCCCGGCCTGCAGGGCCTGTCCTCTGTCCCCACACAGCTGGACAGCTCAGGGCAGCAGCTCCTGCCTCTGGAGAGCAGCGGGAGAGGTCCTTGCTGGGCAAGGAGAGGTGTCCATCCAAGCAGGCTTTGGTGTGTGGGTGAATGCTGTGATAGCCCAAGTCACCTCCCGAGCAGAGCTGTGACATTAAACTGTCCCTGCAGATACCATCTCAGCTGCCCATTCTGCTGGGTGAATCTCAGCCTGATACCTGAGCTGAAAATATCTTTGCAGCCGTTTAACCACAGTTTCCTTTTCAGCTTTCAGAGCAGTGCTGGTCACTGGGCACTCACTGATGCCCTGCCACCGGCAGGGTCTGGGTGATGTGTGGGGATTTGCTGTGAGTAAAATCTTAAGCAAAGCAGGCTAAGGAAGCCATAAAATCTCTTGGGGCATAGTGTCAGTGGTGGGGTTGTTGAGGGCATAGCTGTGAGAAAGGCAGGTGGTCACTGAAATAAAATGGGAGAAGAAATGAAGAAGGTGGAGGAAGCTGCAGGGTGGCAGGGCAGTGACAAAGTCAAAAAGTTCCAGCCAGGCTCTAATGCTATTCCCACCAAAATGGAATTATTAGAATAAGAAGTTTAGAGTGGAAGAAGTTAAGGTGAAAAAGAGCCATCTTCTCCTGAAGTAAAAAGTCCAGCGTCCTCATATTTTGCAGTTTTTACAGCACTTTCATTCCTTCAAAGTACTGCCAAAGGGTTTTTTTTTTTTTCCTTACTGCTTTGGTGGCTGATCATGTCTATTAGCTCTAGATTTAGTCACCTTGGCAATACCTTAATAATTGATTTTGAGCATTCTAGGTAGTGGCTGCTGTGCACTAAAGCAGAAGATAGTTCTGGCTGTTTGTCACCCTTTTTTGGAGCTGCTGATTGTCAGTCAGGATGCGAAATCCCCCCTGCCACTCAGCTGGTGAGACAAAGTGAGGCTTTTCCCTCTCATTCCTGGAAGCTTTTAAAGCAGGATCTTGGTTTCTTTGCCCAAATTTGCCCACACACCCTTGGGGTCATGCAGGAGCTGGCTCCAGGTGTGCCAGCTGAGCTCTGATGTCATGGGGTGACTTCATGGGGGCACGGTCCCGACGAGCTTTTAGCAGCACTGAATTAGCAATAGTGAAACTTTCCAAAACAAGAGGTGTTTAAAATACCTCTCACATGGCAGCATCTGGTGTTCCCTGCAGTCCTGACGTGGTTTCAGCACCCAGAGTCCTGCACTGAGCCGTGGTGGCTGTTGCCCAAAGGTGCAGCAGTGAGCCCAGTCCTTGCTGGATTCTGTGACAATTGCCAGGAGCTGGTGGTGAGGGATGCAGCAGTGCCTCTCTGCTCACTGCCAGAGGGCACACAGGGATGGGATATTGGGAATTAGGAATTGTTCCCTGGCAGGGTGGGCAGGCCCTGGCACAGCTGTGGCTGCCTCTGGATCCCTGGCAGTGCCCAAGGCCAGGCTGGATGGGGCTTGGGATGGTGGAAGGTGTCCCTGCACTATGGCAGAGATGATTTTTAAGGTCCCTTCCAAGCCAAACCAGTCTGTGATTCCGTGATGTTGCAACCTCCCCCTGCGCTTTCTGGCAGAAAGAGCAAAGAGCCCAGGGTGAAACCTTGATGAGCCCAGTCAGTTCCAGGCTGTTTTAGCACAGCTGGGTTTATTTTTGCCTCCCTGGCTCTGTGTGGGAGGCTGGGCTCCCTCCTGCATGGCACGGTGCCCGTGCTCCCAGCCTGCCAGCTCCAGCCTTGGCCCTGGTGGCATCTCTGGGTCCTCTCCTTCCCACAGCACCAGCGAGGCAGCGAGGTGACATTAAAGCCCTGGAACAGCAGATAAAAGGCCCTGGCTGTATTTATTGAGTGTTACAGATAAGTAATCCACTCTGCTGTCAGTGTCTGCAGAAACAGCAAATAAAGTATACATGGCCCTTGCTTTGATGTGATGAAATCTCCAGAGGACACTCACTTCAGTGGCTCACAGTGCAGCTGGAGCTGAGTCTTGCAGTGGAAAATACAAGATTTTCATGTCTTCGTGCGTTGCTTTAAAAATATCACTATGGCTCTATGCTGGGCAATTCTGTGTTCTGAAAGCTTGGGTTGTTTTGTTGCTTTTTTTTTTTTTTATTTCCAAAATGTTATTAAAATCATCGTAACCGTTTTTGTTGGAAGGGGAAAAGTTAATAGTTATTTTGTGGTTTCATACCCAGCGTTAAAACAACAGTCTGGTTTTCATTTGAACCAATCAAAGTATGGAAATTCAAAATGAAGGTTCTCTCCATGTCCTTAGATCAACTTGTTGGCCTTGCTGAAATGCATAATGGATGGGGCAGGGGAAAAACCTCAATCCTACAACTCTTAGCTTTGTTTTTGCACATAGCTCAGCTTTTTTTGTAGCTGCTGGATTTCAAATTTGACGTCACTTTCTTGCCTGTCTTCTCAAGCTATAAAAACTTCCTCCATTTGGTAAATGTGCAGCTGCTCAGAACTCAGTGAACCACAGACATTTTTTTGTCCTTTTTTGAAGAACCTAAGCAGTAGTGAAGGAAATTAGTTGGCAAACACACGTCAGTAATTGAATTAACGCACTTTCAAATTTTGGGGTGTAACTCTGACTGCTGGGGATGATGGGTTTTAGTCAGTTCTGGTTTTTGGTGTGGTCAGAAAGAGCCCAGAGGCACAGCTGGGGCACAGAGAACCCCAGGCAGCCCCAGGGGAGCAGCCCTGGGATGGGGTGCTGGGGGATCCCCTGGCCAGGGATGCCCTGATGTGGCCCCAGTGACCTGGGACAGCTGCCCTGAGCCTGGCCAGGGCTCCAGGGCCCTCCTGCTGCCAGTCTGCAGGTTCCCTCCCAGCTCTGGCTTAGCCTGGGGGTCTGGAGGAGCCTTTTTTCACAAAAAGGGTGCTCAGACCTTGGCAGGAGCTTTGGAGTCCCCATCCTGGAGATGTCCCAGGAAGGGCTGGAGGTGGCACTCAGTGCTTTGAGCACAAGGTGGGCACTGGGCACAGCTGGGAGTCCGTGGGCTGGCAGGGATTCTCCAGCCTCAGGGATCCTGTGTGAGCTCCTCTGGGGTTCATATGTCACCAGGTGAGCAGCCTGTCACTGTCCCCAAAACAGGTGCTGGGCGCAGCAGCCTGTCCTCATCCTGGATGTTATACATCTCCCCAAGGCTTGGAAAAGTCACTTCCTCCCCAAGCTGTTCCTTCCCTGGCCATGGGAATGAGCTGCCCTGGCTGGTTACAGCCCTTGGATCTGGGAGGTCCCAGCCCTGGAGCTGGCATGAAATTAAATAGTATTTGAATGCTCACCGTGGGGCTAATGCTGCTTTGTGCAGCTTTTTATGAAGATTACGAAGTTGCAGCAAAAAAGCAGATCTTGCTGTAATTAGAAGATAGAAGAGTTAATCATAGGGAGGACTTAGTATTCATGCTTGCTCTGAAATTTTCTAAACTGCTTTAAAATTCCTTCAGCTGAAGGAGCTGAACTTCACTACAAACCTTTTGCAGGCTGAAGTGTGGTTTTCTTCATCCATTTGAATTGCAGCACAGAAGTCACAGGGCTCTTCTCCCCAGAGGTTCAGGAGGCTCTGAGTTCATTTTGTTGATATGTGAAATCATTTTGGTGCTTGTCGAGCCATAGGACCATTTACTTGATGTCCTTGAGGCAACCCAAGCATTTTATTGCTGTTTATTCACCCTTTGAGACAAGATTTGAAGCAAAAAGTCACCAAAATCATCGAAATTTCAAGTTAGAAGGGAGAGCTGGGTGATGAACCCCCGGCAGCTGGGGGAGGGACACACTCCACATAATGCACTATTAAAACTTCATGAAGAGGTTACCAGAAAAAAAAAAAAAAAAAACCAGAAAAAAAACCTACAAAGCACTGGGCTTAATATTAAATTCTTAGTTTTAGCAGTCTGGTCATTTTCAGGAAGGAATAATCAGCTTAACCGCAGCATTCCCATATTTAATGTTCTGAGCGGAGAGGGATTGTCTGATTTCCTTTTCCCTTTTTTTATTTATTTATTTTTTTTCTCTCTTTTCACAGTAATTAATGAAAGTCAAAAGCATCAACTGGAATCTGTGAGCTACTCATCCCGCTATGCCCTGGGACTGTTTTATGAGGCTGGCACGGGGATTGGTGTCCCCTGGGCCGCTCGCTACATCGCCGATAATCCCTGCGTGCGCTTCATCTCCATCGATAACAAGAAGCGCAATATAGGTCAGTGCTCCCATTATCCCCCTTAAACACAGCCACAATGGAGGGTGCAGAGCATGAGAAATGCTGTTTAATTGAGTGTTGCTGCTCTGAACAGAGGCAGTGTTTAACTCCAGTGTTCAACTCCCGGCCGCGGCGGATGGCGTTTCATGTCGCCTTTGGCCTGTAATGAAGCACACAATGAGAGCGGGCCGGCCCTCAGAAAATCAGCCCCCAGCACATGGTTTATGTTACTGCCTTTATGAGACCGGTGTCAGGGGATTGGAGACATCAAAATGTTGCTATTCCAGGAAAGAGCTGGGGTTCCTTTGTTTAAACACTGGTCTGTGCACTCGTCGGTTTGTCTCCCGTCACCCAGCTCCTGCCCTTTCCTCAAGGCTTGGAAGCAAGAATGACTTTGGGTAATTGGAGCTGCTCAGCCCAGTTCAGAGTCGGCCAGGCTGCTTTTGTGACCAGGGAGAGCCCCTGAAATGGCTGCACGTGCTTTGTAGGGCTTGGAGAGTATGCCCCCAAGACAGACCCTTCTCCTGTCTTTCTGGAGGATGGCAGCTGAGGAAGTGTGTGTTTTATTTATTAAATGTGTTTCACCTGTCAGGAGTGGAGTAGCATAGAATAGCTCAAGAAAAAACACTGGCAGACCAATCAGAGTCACAGAATCCAGCATGGTTTGGCTTTTGAGGGACCTTAAAGACACAAAGTTCCACACCATGCCATGGGCAGGGACACCTTCCACCATCCAGCCTGGGCTTGGGCACTGCCAGGGATCCAGGGGCAGCCACAGCTGCTCTGGGCACCCTGTGCTAGGGCCTGCCCACCCTGCCAGGGAACAATTCCTAATTCCCAATATCCCATCCAGCCCTGCCCTCTGGCACTGGGAACCCATTCCCTGTGTCCTGTCCCTCCATCCCTTGTCCCAAATCCCTCCCCAGCTCTCCTGAAGCCCCTTTAGGCACTGGAAGAGGCTCTGAGATCTCTTCAGAGCTTTCCCTTCTCCAGGAAAAACACTCCCAGCTCTCCTTCCTTGTAGGAGAGATTCTTCATCCTCTGTGCAAGCACGAATTTGTTGTTTACCGTAAGAATTTAGCCTATTGATCTGACAAAAGAGAAGAATGGCTGGACTGGCCAAAATAAAGATGCAGACACCCTGATGTGCTTTCTCCAGCAGGGACTTAGGTGAATATGTGAAAAAAGAGCCTGAGGAAAGCCAAATAATAGAGAGTGATCTTTTTTCCTCTGGCATTGTCTCCTTGTTACTGACAGCGTTCAGCTGGAGATTTTCTTGCATCTGAGATTCTGTTTCCATTGTTGTGTTCAATGAAAAATACCTGATAGTTAATAGGACCTGCTGATATTATCCTTACCATTGTCAAGCAGGAATTCACCCATAATTTCCCCACCTCTCTGCACATGTGGTCTCAAAGCCCCAGCACCAAAAACAGCAAATACGGAACTGTGATGGAATTATCAAACAACTTTGCTGTCTCCAGATGCAATTGAACCAAGAACAAAGCACATTATTTGGGGCATATTGTTAACAAATACATAGAAAGTACCAGAACATCAGTGTTGACACATACCTTTCTCACTGAAAATTTCCCTTGAATTGTGGGAGAGTTCTGTTTATATGAGCAAATTTTTCCTAGAAGAACAAATTGTGTGTGTGTATCTCTTCCTAGGAGACAGGCTTTAGACAGCACAGGCAAGGGAGGTTGAGTGTGAAATTTATTTACATGTGAAGTCCTGCAACCAAAACACATGAGTAAAAAGTTCCTTTATGCTTCTTTTAGCACATATGCAAGTATTTTGCATCTGCATCTTTCTTCCTGTGCATTTAAGTGTCCTGCAGGAGATTTCAGTGGGAGGCACAGGAGCACCTTGCTGTCCCTTTTAACTCCACTCCACTCATCTTCCCACTCTTTTGTTCTTCAACCTTGATTATTTGGACTCATTTGAAGAAGAGGATGGTGACAACCAAAAAGTAAACATTCAGAGCAAGCAGAATTGCTGGGTGAAGCAGCTGAGATCTTCCAGGGCAGTCATCATTCCCTAAAAGCCATCACTTTCTCCAGTTGTTTCTTCACCTGATGTATCCAACAATAAATGGAGGCTTACTTATCTCACCCTCACTGCCACCTCAAACAGGTTTTTAATAAACAGCCTTGAACAGTAGAGATCCAGAGAAAATAACTATAGCTGGTAGTTGTCCCCTGCAGGAGGTTTGGAGCTGGATGATCCTCAATCCATTTCATGATCCTATGAGCTTTCTGCTGAGGGACTTGGATGACATCTCCCTAAAGCAGCTAGTCCAGCCCTCAAAGGCCAGCAGCAAAGGCTGTTGGAAGCCCAGAGTGTCCTTGTCACTTGTGTGAGATGTGGCAGTCCCTGCCTCGACTCAGTAAAGCAGAGACATCCAACTCGTGGGCGTTGCACCAGTGAAACCCAAACCGGCCTTGCTGCTGTCATCACACAGCAGGGTGGGTTTGATAAAGCAATTATCCCTGATGGCCCCAATTCCTGGTGTCACCAGGAGCCTCCAGGAGGGCAGGCTTTTCCCAGCAGCCGAGGATCCCAGCTGCTGTGGGCAGAATCCCAAGCCTGCCTGCAGAGGTGATGTTACGTAAGGGAGAGCCCACCAGAAGCGTGTGCTGAATTCCCCGTGTGGCGTGCATGAATATTAAACACTTTGTGGGATTGGCTGCCTCAAACACCCCATCCATATTTATACCAGGTCGGGGGGGACAGTGGGAATTCTCCAGCATCAATTATTTCTGGAATACTGCAGTCTTTGCATCTCTCTGCATTCCAGGAGGACTAAAGATAGATGACACATCAAAGGGGAAGTGGTTCCTTTCTTTTGCTCCAGGATTGTGGGGTTATGTAATTTAAAGGGAAGATCTGCCTTGCAGGTTTTTTGGCATTGTATAATTCCTGACTATCCTCTTCAGTTTTGAAATAGAGATTCCTTTCCTTCCTGAAATAAGAATTTTTAGGAAGATGAAGGAGTTAAAGAACTATTTAAGTTCTTGCCTTGTTACGCAGCCGGTTGTGTTGTAATCCTCTGCCAGCCCTGCCTGCCTTTTAGAAAAATAATCAGAAACTGTTGGTAAGGCTAATGAAATGCTGGGTTTCTGAATATGAAAAAGTTCGTGCCATTCTTTCCATGACTCCTCCCAAATGTGCCTTCTCACGGAGTAGATTTTATTCCAGGGAGAATATAGGACTTTAGGAACCACAGGAATTTCTGAGGATAATGGGGAAGCTTGCTGGCCCTCTTCCCAAACAGCAGCATGGCATTGTGAAAGTGACCCTCCACCTCTCTTGCTTTCTAGGTGTAGTAAAGTTAATCACTGCTCATTTTTAGCTTTTAGGTAGGGTTTATGAGGCCTGCACATTGACTTCTCTTTTGGCACCGTGTGAAGCCTCCCAGGGAGCAGGGATGCAGTTCCAGCCTGTCCAGAAGTGTCCAGTTTCTCTGCTGCCCTCCACGCTCACCCAGCAGCATTCCCTTCTTCCAGGGCTTGTTTGGTGTGGCAAAAACCCTTCCCCTGCTGCTACCCAGGACCAGAATGGGGCTCAGATGGCAAAACACATCTCCCCAGGAAGCTTAGAAATCCCTGAGGGTCAGGAAACAAAAACATTGCGGTTTTATTTGGATCTGTTACGACTCCAGGTTTTGGGCAGCAATGTGAGAAAAATACTCAATGCTGTTCCCCTAAAATGAGGAGAACACTCCTGTGGGGGATGTGTGCCTATCACATCCATGGACAGTTTTCTACTGGAGACCAGGTTGTGACCCTTGGACAACCCCTGGGCACTCCAACAATCGTTTTGGAAAGCTGGAATGTGTCATCTTCCCAGAGGGGATCTTGAGAATCTGGTTTCTTCAGTGGCAGGGCAGAGATAAGGAGTTTATCAGGCTTGGTGCCTAACAGCCAGAATGGTCATGAAGTGTTCAAGCACCTCTTTCTTTGTGGATTCCTGGGTCAGAAAACACTGGTTTGCTGAAAATAAAATATTCTTCTGAGAATGTGCTAGTCCAAACAAAGGTCTAACCAGGAGAGGCTTCCCAAGGAGGGATTTGAGGGAATCACTTGATTGAACAACCAGCTCAGCTGAAATGCAACATAACCCATGTTGTGTCCTTGCTCCATCCTGCTCATTGGGGCACCCAAAAATCCCCTAATCCAGGCAAATTCTCTGGCTGCTGGTTGTTAGGCCATGTCTGTAAGGTGGCAAGCCAACATGCCAAGGGGACAGGAGTCACCTGTTGCAGAGAACCTGCAGCCACCCCCAAATGTAACAAAGCCTGGCCCTTTCCAAGTCTGCTGGGATCAATGTCAGCACTTGAGCTATGATTTCATAGATGAGAACAATTTTTTCTGATAGGACAAAGGGTGATGCTTTTAAACTGAGGGAGGGTTGATTTAGATGAGATAAAAACCCCAATTGTTTTACAGGGAGGCCCTGGCACAGGTTGCCCAGAGAAGCTGTGGCTGCCCCAGGATCCCTGGAAGTGTCCAAGGCCAGGCTGTTGCAGAGATTGTCCTCCCTGACTTGTGTTCTCATTCCATGTGCTTTTTCCCCATCTGGAAGAACAGAGTGGCGCCACAGATATTTTTGCTCTTACTGACTCCTAGTCCAGAGGCACAATTGTCAGCACGTGTGGAAGGCAGATGTGAATGAGCAATGCTTCACAAGCACCTCTCCTCCTCCTCTCTTTCTTGCAGAGTCTCCTGAAATGGGGCCCTCGGTGGTGGTGCACACCACTGTGTCCTTTGGCAGCGAGCACCTGGACTCAGACCCCGCCGAGGTGCAGCAGATCATCCTCAGCCACCTGCAGAGGGTTGTGCCCTCCCTGCCCAAACCAAGCAGCATCAAGTGCCACAGATGGAGATACTCCCAGGTACTCAGCTGGGAGGACCTGCTGGGGCTGCATTTTCCATCCTCGGGGAGCAAGAGGACTGGGGATGGTTGCTCAGCATCCATAACAAATTTGTCCAGGCAGCCATGAGCAGCATCCAGGGCTGGCCAGCACAGCCAGGTCACTTTTAGCCATTTTTTAACATCTTTGGCCTGGCTCAGCAGTGAGTTGTGCAGCTCTCCTGGTAAGCAGGGGTAGGAGCAGTGTACAGGAAGGAAGTAAATCCAGTGTAATTCGGTGGGATTTTCACTGGTATTTAAAAATCATGACTCAATACATCTCTGTGCATCCAAAAGTATGTGGTATTATTAGCAAAATTCCCACCCTGCCACAGAAAAGCAGAAGTACAGACGAACTAATTGTTGTTATTTGATTTGGCCCAGCTCAGTTTAACAGAATGTTTTGAAAAATGTATTTAAAAGTAAACTACCTAAGGGTAATAATAGCAAAATGTGCATATTTTGCAGTCTTCTTTTAAAAATCCAAGGAAATTGTTGGCGATTTCCTAAAGTACTGGAGTGTATCTCCATGTTTACCCAGAGCCTCTCAAGTTAATTTACATTGGTGAATTTCAACGTGGAGGTGGATGCAAAATATTTACTTTTAAAGCAGTCCCCTAAAATTTTTTCCTTTTTTGAAGTTGCTCTGAATGGCTGTTGTGGAGTCTGCTCATACGCCTTGATCTGCATCCAATTTGGGAACCTGGTCTGGTTAGCACAAAGTTTATTTTTCTGCAAGTAAAGTACTGGTGGATTGCAAAAGCAACCTCAGCACTGGTATTNCAGAACAGATCTGGGGGAAAATGGGTTTAAAAAAAAAACAAAAAAAACCAAAACGTGGTGGGCAGTCAGAGCTGGATATAGGTCAGCCTCTGTCCTGGCAGCTGGTTCCCGAGCCAGAGCGCAGGGAAAGGGGATGAGCTGGAGGCAGAGGCGGGGATGGGCCACTCTCCTGTGCTGTCGGATTATGTTCTTTTCTGACCCAGAGATGGGGCAGCTTATTCTTTTATTCTTTATTCTATTATTCTATTAAACTTTTCATTCTGTTTTTAGTCTTATGAGACGAGTGAGGTGATACAGATGTTATCATTCACACCATCACAATCAGAAACTGTTTCTGTATCTTTTACAATACACTATAAGTGTTTCTTATCTCTCTATCAGCTTTAGCTGCACTATGCTGTAAATACCTTAAAACTAATCATCTAAAATTACCCCTCGTAAATCTTACCTCAATGTATCTTTCATAATTCCATTTCTCTAAAGTATCTAGTTTTATATAGAAAACTACCTTTTAAAACTTGTTTCTAGCTCTATTCCTCTCTTAACAATACCTGTCCTATTCCATGGCATTTCTAAGCCAGCATTTCTTATCTCAAAGTCTACATATGCGCCTTCTGTTAAGTTTTTAAAATTTTCTATAAATCCATTCCCCACACTTCTCCACCTTTTCCATCGCAGAAAATCCCGGCTCAGCACCTCGAATTTAGCCAGTTCCCGTTTGCAGCAAAGCATTCACACATTCCCCGGCACGGGAGGGATGGAGCCTCGGGAACACGCCGGGACAAAGGGATTTTTGTTCTCGAGCTGCTCCCAGATGTGATGCTGCAATAGCCACGGGCTGTGCGCGGGTGTTGCTCTGTCCAGGGAGAGCTGGAGCGAGTCTGGTCCAAATCAGATCATCAGCACCCCTCATCCTCGTCATTTGGGGTTTGCTGCCTCCCTCAGCGCACCTGGGTAGTGCAAATCCCACTTTCCTTCGATTTAAAGGCAGTCCTGGGGGCCAGCTTGGGAATGCAAGCTGCAGGCACAGCAGGATGGGAGCAAGTGTAAATAATTCCCGTTACACATCACAGCCCCAGGCGGTCCCTGGCCATTGCCAAGGGACTCACCAAAGGATTTTTGAGCAGCTCTGGGTTGAGGAGAAGCCCAGGGTTTCTGCCCCGTCTCAATTCCACCCCCTGCTCTGTGTGCTGGAAGTGGGAAGTGAAGCAGCAAATGAAAGGGACCCATTTGCACATGGTCCTTGACTGACTCTTTATCCACCCATGCTCTGGGGGGATTTCCTTTAGGTGTCCTGGGCTTTTCCCTCAGAACTTAACTCACAGGTAGGATTGATGCTGAGCGAGCGGCTCAGCTCCACAGAGAGGAGTTTGGTCAGGCAGGGAGAATTTCAGGAACAGTTCATGCCCCAGCCACATGGTCAAGCGATCCTTGGCCAAGAAGGGGACATAATTTAAAGGAGTGTATTTTTCTTTGCTCAAATCTGCCTAAAAATAGGTGAATTTTCCTTTTGTGAACTTGTCTTCTTCTCTCCTTCTTGTCTGCAAGTATTATTTTTTAATTTGGCCAGTAAAAGAACGACCATTTTTGTATGGATAATTAAAAAAAAAAAAATTGCTTTGGATTTTCCCTGGAGGTCATAAGTGGAGATGAAAATCCTGAGCCATATTTGCTGCTGCAGTGTACACACAGAGGGTTTCATATGGGGGTGCTCAGCCTGGCCTGGGTCCAGGTAGTCATTCTGAGAGGAATAAGGCATCCAACTTCTAAACTAGTGAGAAAAACAGAGCTGGGACACTGTAAGGCAGATTTTCTGCCTGCATCTGTGAGCACAGGGTGCTAAAGAAATCCCTGCTTCCAGGGAGCAGGCAGAGGGTTAATTTTGGCTCCCTCTGCCTCACTTTATTCTTTGAATAATGAAATTAGTTGTTCCAGAGCCTTTTGAAGGGCTGAGCTGAGCCTTCTTGCAGAACAATACACGCTGTGCTCTCGATGTGAGTGCCCTTATGGTGAACTTTGAGCTACACATCTGCTATAAAGAAGTAACTCTTATTCCCACTTGGCCACGGCTGGGGAAGGATTCCAGCTCCATCCACGCCTCGGCACAGCTCTGTTTGCTCCATGCAGGCCTGGCCTGGGAGCAGAGGGGTAGGAACCATTTGGAAAGCTCGTTAGAACGCCCCGGCACGTTCGGCGCTTTCCCCGGAGCGAGGAGAGCTGGAGAGGAGCCCTGCAGGAGCTGAGCACACGACTGAGCTCCAGCCCAGAGCCAGAAAAGCTCCTTAAACCTGGCATCAGCTTCCCAGCTGGACAAGGAGGCTGCACCAGCAATTCCCTCAGGGTGCTTTTGGGTGGTGTTTAGAGAATCCCAGAATCCCCGAGCTTGGAAAAGCCCTCCCTGCCCATGGAATCCCAATGCCCACCTTGTCCCCAGCCAGAGCCACCTCCAGCCCTTCCTTGGACACCTCCAGCCCTTCCTGGGACACCTCCAGCCCTTCCTGGGACACCTCCAGGGATGGGGATTCCAAAGCTCCCTGGGCAGCCCCTGCCAAGGTCTGGAATTGAATTCCAAAATGCAATGATAGAACTGGGATTGTGGGTGTGGAGTTTGAACAGAAGTGTGTGATATCACACAGTGGGAAACTTAGAGTTTAAGGTTTTAGATTACAGTAATATATTTAAACAAGATGGAGGTTTCAGGGCAAAGGCTGGTCCTTCTTCTTCACCTTCATCTTTACCTTCTTCTTCACCTTCCTCTCTATGGGTTTGAGTGGTTTTGTGTAACTGGATAAAAAAGTCCCCATTGCAGGCCATGGGTGGTTGGTTATTGGGTTAAAAGCAAAAAAATTCAGGTGTCATTTCTTAAGTTTATCCTTAAAAGGCCTTGTAGAGAGAGAGATGGAGCTCCATTTTTAGTTTGTTAGAGTGAAGTGCTGTAGAACTCAGGGTTTGTGAGACTGTGACATAGATAAGAACTAATTGACCCTTTGCATGCAGGAATTGCTGCTGCTGTCCCAGCTGAGCCTCCCCTGGCCCAGCCTGAGGCCCTTTCCCCTTGTCCTGTCCCTGTTCCCTGGCAGCACAGCCCGACCCCCCTGGCTGTCCCCTCCTGGCAGGGAGTTGTGCAGAGCCACAAGGGCCCCCTGAGCCTCCTTTGCTCCAGGCTGAGCCCCTTGCCAGCTCCCTCACTTTATAACAAAGCTGGTCCTGCAGGATTCACTTTTCCTGCTCCCTTTGTTCTCCCTGCTGCTGGGGCTGAGGGATGCCCAGGATGGGCAGTAAGGGTGGGCAGGCCCTGGCACAGGGTGCCCAGAGAAGCTGTGGCACCCTGGATCTCTGGAAGTTTCCAAGGCTTGGAGCAGCCTGGGATAGTGGAAGGTGTCCCTGACCGTGGCAGGGGTTGGAGTGAGACAGGCCCCTTATCTTGGTAAACCAGAAAAAGCAGGACAAAGTGTAGGAAGGAGACTGAAATGGTGAGAGCACAAGGGTGTGGTGGCATCTCCCCGGAGACCCTGGTTCTCAAATGGACATGTCATGTGTTAGTTATTGCAGGCAGCACTGATGGTATCAGTGAAAACCACCAGTGGCAAAACAAGTGGTAAGCTGTGGGTGTCACAGTGTCACCTTTAGCATCACCAGGTGTCTGTGTGGGATGATTCATGCAGTCACAGTGCCTTGGTCACACGAGGTGTTAGATCAGATGGTTTCTCACACCATCTCATGGAGTTCAACATGAAAAAAGACAAATTCTGTTGCTTCTTCCTCCTTTGCTTTTAGGGTTGCTGATGGCTGTGGGTCAGGATTGTCTCATTTGAAATTATTTTACCCTTATCCTCTCAGCTCCTCTTCTTCATGCTGGTGCCACCTCCATCTCACATCAGCATCCCTCTACACCAGCAGTGGAAGGTGCTGTGCCCAAAATTGAGGTCTTCTCTCCAAAACCAGCCCTTGACCACAGGCTTCTTATCCAAGCCCCTAAATTTGAATTTGTTGAGTGGAAGCCATGGTGGAGAGCACAGAAACACAGATTTGGGGCAGTTCATTCCTCCGGAATCAGGGACTGTTTTATTTCCCTCACATGCTGCAAGAGGAGCAGCTTGGGTTCATCCCAGGATGCTGAGGAGGGGTAAGACCAGGATTTCATGTAGTGCTTGATTCATTCCTGTGTCTTTTTCCTAATGGGACTGACTGCAGCTTGAA